GGTGTGCAGTATTACACGAGTTTCCAGGGTGCAGCCTAGCGGTCAGACATTTCCAGAGCCTACACAGTGGTCCCCCTGAGAAGCCTAAGGGCTCCTTGGCACCATAGTTATGATAATGGTATTGACTGTGTTCCCTGTGCTGGTCTTTCCACGCCTAGGACCATTCTTTTATATATTTTTTTTATTTTATTGATTTTTTACAGAGAGGAAGGGAGAGGGATAGAGAGTCAGAAACATCGATGAGAGAGAAACATCGATCAGCTGCCTCCTGCACGCCCCCTACTGAGGATATGCCTGCAACCAAGGTACATGCCCTTGACTGGAATCGAACCCGGGACCCTTCAGTCCCCAGGCCAATGCTCTATCCACTGAGCCAAACTGGTCAGGGCTCTGGGACCATTCTTAACTACAGTTTGTACTTCTCAATCCCTTCACTTTTCCACACAGTCCCCCACCCCCTTAGGTGGCAATCGGCAATCTGTTCTGTGTCTGTGAGTCTGTTTCTGTGAAGTGTGTTCGTTTATTGTTTCTTACATTCCACATAGAACTGAACCTGTAGATTTTCTTAACCATATGTCCAATCCAACTTTTTTCATTTATCGAATGATCTTGTAATTCATTGTACTGTCCACTTTTATGTAAATAGTAGGTTAAGGTGCACTTGTTCTTAAAAGTTGTCTTACGAAGTTTATTGGACTTATAAGAATAAAAAACAATTAGAAGTTAAATACATTGGAAATATTTCATCTTATTAATAAGATTTCTAAGATGAAATGTACATAGTATTATGTAATTATAATATTTTCTAATTCTACTTTTTATTTCCTTTCCAAATCTTGATCCAAGAGTATTATTGTTGAGGAAATTCTTAGGTATTTTCAGGGTGTGAACCGCGAGTTCATGCTGACTTCACATGTGTCAGTGTGTGATGCCTGCACAATCGCACAGGAAGGTTCTGTATGTGCATATGGGTCTTGAAGATTAATGCTGACTTATCCTTAAGGTGTGTGTTCAGATTAATGGGGAAACTACTAAAGTGGTTATATTTTACTCTAGGGTTGTCCTGTTCTTGTTTAACTATAAAATGTTCCATTAGCCCTGACCGGTTTGGCTCAGTGGATGGAGCGTCGACCTGTGGACTGAAGGGTCCCGGGTTCGATTCCAGTCAAGGGCATGTATCTTGGTTGCGGGCACATCCCCAGTAGGGACTGTGCAGGAGGCAGCTGATCGATGTTTCTTTCTCATCGATGTTTCTGACTCTCTATCCCTCTCCTCTCTGTGAAAAATCAATAAAATATATTTTTAAAAATGTTCCATTAGTTTTGAAGAAGCTAATCCTAAAGAAAACAAACACTTCCTGGGCTGTGGGGTGTCCCTCAGCAAATGAGAGGTTTATCTCTTATTTGATCACTTACCCCTTTTCAGTAGACAGCCCCCTGCTGGCCGCGCGACTTCCTGGAGGTGAAAGGGCCTTGGAAGCCATTGCAGCAGGAGCCCTCGGGCAGCAGGAAGCTGAGGGCTGGCAGACAGGATGGATGAGCGGGCGGTGCCCGAGCAGCCCCGGCTGCCTTACCGCGGGCTGCGTGGTCAGATGTGCAGAGCGAAGCCCACTTGTGAATCCCGACTCTCCTCTCACTTCCTCCCGCACAGCAACCAGTGTGCGCCGTCTTACGTGCATGTGGCCCCTCAGGCGTGTTCATGGTTTTTTTTTGTTAATCCTCACCCGAGGCTATTTTCCCATGACCTTTAGAGAGCGTGGAAAGGAGGTGCGGGGAGAGAGGGAGGGAGAGATCCACTGACCTCCTCCCGCTGGGGCCAGGGATCAAACCCGAAACCCAGGTACAGCTCCCAACTGGAATCAAACCCGAGACCCTTCGGTTGCGCGGCCGACGCTCCAACCACTGAGCAACACAGGCCAGGCCCTGAAACATTTCTTTCGTATTTAAATAGGTGATACTGTGGAATGCACTCCAGTTTTTTCGTGTCTAAAAGGAAGCACGCATCGCAGTTTTCAGAGTGAGCTGTGTTTCTCTTGTTAGGAGCAGCGTCTGCATTTTCTAAAGCAGCAGGAGCGCCATCAGCAGCAGTCGATTTCTGAAAATGAAAAGCTTCAGAAACTGAAAGAGCGAGTGGAAGCCCAGGAAAACAAGCTGAAGAAGATCCGAGCCATGCGGGGGCAGGTGGACTACAGCAAGATCATGAACGGCAATCTGTGTATGTCCCCCGCTTGCTCCCACCTCGCGGGCCGGGAGGCGAATGCAGTCGGGTTTCTGCACACGGTCGGTCACGCCTGAGTCAGAGCTGGTGTGGAAAGTGCACTGCTCGCCGAGGGGCAGAGGGGGCGCGGACTGGGCTAAGTGGTCTTGGGGTCTCCCCTCCCGGCCGTGCAGCACTGGCCCAGCTCCTCCAGGGGGCCTGTCACATTACGCAGCTGAAGTCTCACCTGCGTATAAGGATAGACCACACAAATGCATACTTTTTGTTTTTGTCGGACGGGTCTTTGTTGCCCTTTTAATCCAGCGCGTACCTGCTCTGTGTTCAGTGGTGACAGAGCAGACGGCGATGGCCTGCTCACGGAGCCGGATCTGCTGGTGCCTTGAGATTCCCAGGTGGCTGTGGAACTCACTGCCCCATCAGAAACTATCCACTCGAGAGGGAAAATACTGTTTGCCATGCGAGCAAGTCACGCGTGTCCCAAGGGCGCCTGGAATGTACTGTGGGTTTTGGTGTCACAGTCTTCTCCCTGGGGTCCGGCCCTCGGTGATGCTGGAGTTGAGTTAAATGTACAGACAGGAAGGAAGTTCACCAAACAGAGGTACCACCCCGGAGAGGAGACTCTCAGCGAGTGATGTTTTCTTTCTTGTGGGACTCACAGCTGCCGAGATAGAGAGGTTCAGCGCCATGTTCCAGGAAAAGAAGCAGGAGGTGCAGACGGCCATTCTGCGCGTCGACCAGCTCAGCCAGCAGCTGGAGGACCTCAGGAAGGGGAAGCTGAACGGGCTGCAGCCTTACCCCGGCAAGCTGACGGGCCCGGCCGCCGCGGAGCTGAAACGGCTGTACCAGGAGCTGCAGGTAACAGGGTCCGGGACGGGTTTAGTGTCGCGTCCTGACCTCCAGGTTTTCCTCTGTGGGCTGGAGACCTCCGCTGCTGGGACTCACTGATGGGCTCTAACTTGGTAGAGGCAGGAAATGTAGGTTTTTAGCATCTTCACAGAGTTCTGCATCTACCACCACAGTCAGGTATTGAACACCTTCATCAGAAGCCCCACCCCTTAGCCATCCCTCAGAAGCCTTACATTCCCCCCTTCCCT